TGCCTCGCGAAGTTTGGAATTACTTGAAAATGATCTTACTAAATGGAATTACTTTTGATTAAATTAATTAATTAATCTGAGTTATAATATCATCACCACAATGAGAAATCACATGAAATCCAAACAGTCGAATGAGGCAAGACAGCTGACCATCACTGCATTCACGACTGCAGGTAAGCGCAGCTGGACCCCGCGTGATCCGAAATGATAAATTATCTTCTAGCAAAATGATTTTGAGACATATACTTCCTTTAAGTTTCGTTGAGGGAGACCGGTTTAAGAACAGAAAACGCAAACTTAGAACACCGTTATCTGTCTCTGAAGCATCTGTCAGCGAAGCGCCTTTTCTCCCTCGAGCATAAATTGCTGGTGCATCCCCCTGCATGTGGATATCGTTTTTCTCAATATAAACGTGAAACAATATAAACACGATAATCATATGCTGACTCGAGTGTGTGTGTGCGTTCTGTACGATATCTGGCGCAATCTGCTTTATTAGGCGTTTTTTCCCCGTTCGCGCTGCTTGAGCATGCTTTTATTAATGCTTTTGTTTTTTATATTTTTTGTTTACACATAGGCCTACTGTTTAATGTTTTCAACTAAAAGAAAACTTTAACATATATTGTAAGCTTGTTGTGTATATTGCCTAATTGTAAGCGTGTTCAGAAATGGTGACAAAAACGTAAAAAAAATTAAACTTAACAAATATCGTCTTTTTCGTTAAACGTCATTTAAATAAACTAATATTTGAATATTCGATTTTTATGAGCCCGAATATTCGAATGCAATATTTTAGAAAAATGCCCATCCCTAGTCTGAACACGGCAATGTTACTAGGTCCCCAACCCGGCATCGATCCCGGCATCAATCCCGGGTCGTGTTTGCGTTCACACAGAAGGCACTCTGGCAATTTGCCGGGTTCAAAGCGCTGTGTGAAAGGGGCTTAAGTGGTGCCAATCATAACACACTTGGCCAACTAACCAATCACAGCAGCACATTGTGTATTTCAGAAGGAGGGGCTTCATCGAAACAGGAACTGTTCGGCGCGTTCGAGCCAGACTGGGGAGAGAGGTGCTGACGTGCTGTAATGTAAAATATGTGAAAAATAATGTGTTTTTTGAATAATCAAGCATGAAAGCATATTCTAGTGCACCCCATAAACAAAATCAAGACTTTGTAAAAGGGCATAATAGGACCCCTTTAAAGATTACGAGGGCATATTATTGTTTTGGTTTTTTTAATAATGATGTGCACGGATAAATCATTCATAATAAACACTGCAACATTCTGTAAAAAAAGGAAAAAAATTTGATTTCATGGTGACTTTAAATTACTAATATTGATTATACCGTTACAACAGCACCTGTCAATAGGTGAGATATATTAGGCAGCAAGTGAACAGTCAGTTCTTGAATTTCATGTGTTGGAAGCAGGATAAAAGGACAAGCAAAAAGGTCTAAATTACTTCAACAAGGGCCAAATAGTGATGGCTAGACAACTGGGTCAGAACAGCTCCAAAACGTTCCTGGTATGCAGTGGTTAGTGCCCAAAAGTAGTGAAAGTAAGGACAACCGGTGAACCGGTGTGAGGGTCATGGGCAAACCAGGCTCTACTAGCAGCGTTTCCATTACCCTTCAAATTGTGCAAATTAAACTTGCGAATTGAAAATACGCCCAATGGAAATGCGTCAATTTCCCAAAAACTCCCATATATCCAAAAATGTTTTACGCTCACATGAGGTGGATTTTCAGGCGATTCGAAAAAGCAATATTTCGCAAAACTACAATGGAAACTTTTTTTTTTTTTTTTTTACAGGTCACCCGGCGTATGTAAAAGTCTATCATTCTTTAAAGAAGGTGCAGTATGTTTGGACAGAAGATGAGACAGTTCTTTTTTAAATGTGGTCGGCATATCGTGCATTGCATTTGCATTAGTTACGGGCCACAGGTTGAGAACTACTGAGTGATCTGCTGCTAATGTCTTGGTGCCACAGGAGTCGACTCGGGACACATTCACAGGTCTTATGGAGTCCATGACTCAAGCAGTTTTGGCAGCATGACGGGGACCTACACGATATTAGGCAGGTAGTTTTAATGTTGTGCCTGATTGTTGTATGACACTATAAACGTTGATCAGGCAACCTTAAAGGGTTAGTTCAGCCAAAAATGAGTCTCAACTCAACCTTAAGTTTATCAAGCGACGAAAATTATTTTTGTGTGCAAAAAAAAAACTAAAATAACTAACTTATTCAACTATTCATTTTCTTCCGTGTGGGCCTCTGATGTCAGTTCACGAGAGCGCCACGGCGCATGCGCGAGAACTGAGAAGATTACGCAGATGAGTCTCGATGTAGGGTTTAAAATGGTTCTAAAGTGTGCATTTCCTGGAAGTCCGAATCATGAGAAACCAATGAGAAAATGTAAATACCGCAAAATGAATGGCTTACCTTTCACACTTTCCCATCAAATGATCACGAGCGTCATCTTCTCAAATCTCGCGCATGCGTCGTGGCGCTCTCGAAAATGAATAGTTGAATAAAGTCGCCACAAAAAGTATTCTCGTCGCTTGATAAACTTAAGGTTGAGCCACTGTAGTCACTTGTCTTGGACTATTTTAATGATGTCTTTACTAACTTTTCTGGGCCAGCAGGCAGATGCAATTACCTAGCAAGCAGCCTATGAAGGAGTGATCCAGCTCTCAGATTTCATCAGAAATATCTTAAAGGGGTCATATAATGCCATTTTTGTACAAGCTAATATGATTCTTTAGTCTAAATTAAAACTTTGTAATATACTTTAATTAAAAATTCTCATTAGTATTGTAAGAAAACACTTATTTTACCTGGTCAAAAACAGCTCTGTTTTCAGCACGCCGTTTCAGTGCATATGACTTTAAATGGTAATGAGCTTTGCTGACCCCGCCTCTCTGTTCTGTGAACACCGTTTGTAACACAATAACCATAACGCGTTGTTCATTATAGACGTGGGATTATGAATTATATTGAGAACGTCGTACATAGAAAACATGCCGTATGTACCCTGAGTGTAAACCTTAGACGCATTCATTGTGAAGCGTGCATCTAGCGATTTGCAAAGATTAATATAAATATTAAAGGTTAATAAAACGTTACACTCACTTCAGTTATTTTGGAGGTTCAGCAGGAACACAAATAGTTGGTACCGGAAAACCAGCTTTATACTGACCCTCCTCGTTTATAAAGCAGTCTGGTGTGTGAAATGATTCGCGCAAACATGAGAGCATTGACGTTGCTCGTGGGGAATATTCCCTTTGAAAACAAACTCAGCCACTGCGTCTTCAGCGGTTCGGATTTAGGAACATTAAAATGACTGCTGTGTTCGTTACTACACCCAAGAACAGAACACCACAATCGTTTAGACGCCATTCTGCTCATAGACAGTGCTCCAGCATATCAACAATGACCGCACCGGTCCGCGCGGACTATGATTGACAGCTGGCTCACGAGCGAGGGCGGGTCTGTGTTGAAACGCGGCTGTCAATCAACAATCGTGGGAGGGGCGTGCGAGCTTGTGAAGTCACAGGCTCGAACGGCTCGATTTGAGGCAGGGGAAAACATATAAGGAGATTAAAACAAAAACACTGGATGGATTTTTATCATTTTATGATGTTTGTGTACAGGCACTGCCAACAGACATTTCAGTACAATCAACTTGTAAAAGTGCATGTACCATTATATGACCCCTTTAAAGGTTCTCTAAGCGATCCTGGGTGACGTCACTTCTTGTTGACGTTCGAACTATTGTCAAACAAAATGGAGGCAAGATAGACCCTCCCTCCTCCTCATCCGCGCACTAACCCCCCAAACCCCATCCCCAAGCCCTTCTTGTCGGTCATTGGCTGGAACAGTTTGTTATGTTTCGTGGAGCGGGTCGCCGCAGTTTGTTTTTGTTGCCGTTTGTGGAGCCTGGGCTGTCTGCAGAGACCGCGTTTTTTTACAGTGTGTTCAGGGGACAGCCAGCTAGCGGATAGTGAGGAGATGTTTGCTGTATGTGACAAAAAATGTTTTGGCCAAAAAACGTGTGACATCGCTTAGAGCACCTTTAATTTGTGTTCTGAAGATGAACGAAAGTCTTAAGGGATTGGAACAACATGAGGGTGAGTAATTACTGACAGAATGTTAACAGAACTTACTAAAAACAAAAACAAAACCATTGAAAAAAAGATATTCTGCACTATATGGCCATATTTGGTTAACTAGTAAAGTCACATAAAGTTAGAAAAGATAATCATCTTAGACAGCTTTGTATGAGATTTAGATTATAAAGATGCCTTTTTCTTACCAGTGTGAGTCTGTTTATTTATTTTATTTAATTTTAGGTCTCAGGAACTGGCTCCCTGGTTGCCCTGATCCCTTGTCAATTCTGATCTTGCTACAGACCCAAGTTCAACCGGTGGGCAGGCCGGCAAACATGACCTATACACTCAGTGTTTCATACTATAACAACAGGCTGTTCCACTACGGAAATGGTCAGTCTTGAAATAACGACAAACTGAGTAACAGAAAAATCTGTATCTGTAACGTTACGTTAAATCTGTATTTCAAACAAGGTAACTTACACCCGGATTCTTTTCGGTTTCGAATTGCGCGTCAAACCCCATGTAGATCAGCACTTTTGAATCTAACAATAATATAGATTTCACAACTGTAAAGAACAAACAAACAAGCAACTGTATCCTAAGAAATGACGCAAGTAAAACAACAACTAATTATGACATTTAACCTGCAGAGTATCTACACCTGCTTAAAGATTTTAACCAGTCTGTCGATTTGGGGACACTCAGGAAGATTTTCTGCATTTTTGGCAGATGACGCACGACGAGCCTAAACAGATCACATCTAGCGTGCTGTAACGTGAAATAGCAACCATAACTTCTGGTAAACGTCCCACTCTTTCTCCAGCGGATGTATTCAGTGAGGAGGAAAATTTCCAATCGTGGTTTATAGTTTACAGTTACTTTACCTTGAGTTTCTGCAGAGGAGTAAATCTCAACTCGTGTACGAAAGGATTTTTGAAGTGTGCTGAAACGCCCGAGTCTCCTCCGTCCACCGCCGTGTGTAGTTTTCTGTTAGGGATCCTCATGCTGAAAGAGTAAACATGTATCTCTAAAAATAATAATAAAAGGAAAAGCAAATGCGTCCGCGCGGTGCTGCTTTTATATACTAAATAACTTTTCTGCTTGTCCTGGTCTTACGTGCGCTTCAAGTCGATTTTAAACAACCAGCGTTCAGCTTCTCTTTTGACGCTGTCAACTCTTGTAATTTACCGAGCGAGCAGCATCATGCTCGTTTTAATTGTGCGCATGCGTGATAGACGCAAATTCTGACATCATCCAAACACTGGATTTGTCTAACGATATGGACTGGATGATCTGTTATTTGAACAATTACTTGGTCTACTCACCCTTGTTTTGGTATAATTTATCTTTTCCCTCCCGTTTTTTTTTTTTTACTGACAGTAGGGTTACAGCTTAAAATAAAACAAACAAATAAAAACAACGATGAACTCTCGGTGCTTTTCATAACAGTTTAGTTCCAGCTCTATTGCCTAGAGAATTATTTACATGCACGTGTTTAACCCGTTGGGATCTTGTAAACATAACAACTTTCCATAGTCGGCCACAGCTGACGGGTGTTGTGAATGGTGATCATTACTGCGTTCAGAGCTCAAACAAGGATTCTACATTCATTTCAAACTCAGTCTACATGTAATTTGAAGCTTGACTGTTGTCCTTTCTCATCATGTTTTCAAACTAGTTTCAATTCATGCTTCTCCATTGAAAGAGTTTTATATAAAATTAAAAGCGTTTTATTCTATGAGAATAGAAGTGCGAATGTTAGAAATTATTATAAAGGCGACAATAGGAAAAGACAAAAGAATAAATGTCTTTAGGTTAGGAAGAAACATTTGAATCAAATCGCTTGCAGCCTCATGATTCAGGAATGTAGCATCGCCCCCTGCTGTACAAATAAATTCCTGCTAACTGGGATAATATAATCATCCTCATAAATTCAGTTTGCAGTTATGAAAAAACAGGAAATATCAAGAGATCTTTTAATTTTGATTATTAATAATATTCTGGAACTGGAAAAGTCAAGCATGTTTTTCTAGTTATGCACTTTGACATTTCAACAGCCAAATATTCCTAAAAACTTGCTTGCCAGACCAAACCAGTTTACAAATAGCTGTGCATGATTCATTGAAAAAAGTCTGAATTTTAATTATTTTAATAAGCAACCTCTATAATATTCAGTGGGTTTACATGCATATTTAAGGTCTGAATTAGGTTTAGGTAGCTGCTACCTTCCTGAACATATTTGAAAATATATGGAGAGAAAAAAAGTGAATAATTCTCAAAACCTTTTAATCTTTCCAGATGCAGATGTCAATATTTATTAGAAACTTTATGATCTTTACATGCTCAAATACATCATTCAAGACAAGTGATTCTCAAGTCTTCATTTGAGAAACAGCCAGTGGCATGAAAACACACATTGAGGTCTTAATTAATTCACCCCTGCCGCTGCTTGTGTCTGGGGTGGGATTTGCAAAAAACAAACAACCTTCCACGGCGGCGAGCGAAAAAGCAGTCTTTACAGCGTCTTTTAAGAGCTGTTTTGGTCTTCATGCCAGCAGATGGTTGAACACACAGGAGCTGCTGGCACTGTCCAAGCAGGGGTGAGAGAAAAGCGGTGTGTGGCTTGCACATTGGGTTGAAGAATCTCCTAAATCGCATTGTTGCAACTGTGATGGTGGAGATACATCTCTGTGCACCTACTGCAGGTAAGGAGCAGGAAGCAGCACATCTGGCAACTTGGGACATCTGCCGAGTCAAGGAACCAACAAGACAAGAGAGCAACAGAGGTGCCATGGTGTCAACACCTAGTGAAACAGAAAATACAAAATGTAGGTGTGTTACCCTGAATTGAGTGACCAGCATCATTTAAACTAAATTTCTAGCTCTGTCCAGAAATTCTGACAAAATTACCATATTTTGCATCATATATTAAAAACAGTACCTGTTGCTATCTGCTTGTATGATCTACTTAAAATTAAGGAAATTACTAAAAATGTCAAACGATTTCTTATAACAATATATTAAATGATCATGGTTTCGACAAAAAATACACAATTACTTACCTTCTGGATGACTTCTGACTTATAGTATCTATTTATATGACCATATTTTGTAAATTATTTTAAATATCAATTATATCTAAAGGCAAAGTGACAACGCAGTGAAACCTTACAAATGACAGTTTAGAAAATACTGCCTGAACATAGTAAGTTAGTAGTATTTATTTTCTTATTTTAACCCGTCTGAGGACAGGTGCAGGGAATGAGAGATTGTCATATATTTGACAAAATAAAGAGAAATTGAAATGTTAAGAACATTCAAGTAAGTTAGTCATCTCTGATTAATTTGGTATTTTGAAAACGAATAACGTTAACGTTAGCTAGATTGCAACTGGCATTCATTTTCTGTCCTTTCAGTTCGTATTCAGAGCTGCATGCTACAATTTAATACGGACTAACCCCATTCCCACACATATGAATTTACTGAGAGTATTATGTAGAGGGCGTCATTACAACAAAGTTGGCATAAAAAATAGACTTGAGCACTTAACTTAGTGGACCGCTAACTAGCTTGTTAGGCTGCTGAACACTCTCTCTTCAACGGCAAATAAATGTGTTGATTTCAATACAATGATTACAGCCAGACATACAAACAAAAACATAAGCATCGCGTACCTGTCTGAATATACCGATAGAAACGTGTATAAATCTATTTATTCCCAAATGCATCGATGTGAAGGTAGCATGCTTTAGGCGTGCGGAAGTTCCTGTGACGTAATGACTTTCAGGAAAGTCATAACTCACGCATGCGCACAGTACCCTCATTGGAACCTGGACTCAAAATTGTGAATATAAAGGTTTTGTTACATGTTGTTTTGTAATTTAAAAATTACGAGTGGATTTTTTAAATAAATTTACATTATATACTGTAAAAGGAAATTGTTTAAATGCACAAATCAAAGAAATATAAATTAATTCAGTTGTTTTCGACCAGCAGGGGCCAGCAGTGAACCATGAAGACTTTTCATGCCCACAGCAAAGCAAAGGCTGCTGGGTAATAATTACAGGCAAACATGGCAGCCACCCTTCCAAGGATGTTGTCCTTCGGTAAAAACACGAAGGCGCTGCTCAATAGCATGAGGTTATCTGTAGTTCCAGTCCAGCTATACAGTGTACCGGTTTCTAATTATGGAGAAAAAGTGACTCACACGGGACAGGTGAGGCACAGTTGTACAGTCTTTAAAGGATTAAATGCACGTCTGTTTATAGTATTAGCATTTGTTGTGAGAATTGACTCTCAGATCTTGCTGTTAATGGTTGGCTGTGAAGTAGTTTGGGCATTTAATGGCAACTGAATGATGAAGGATGCTGCTGCCTCTTGTCAGTGTTATGATGGGACTGGAGTGATTCCTTTTGCTGCTTGTTTTTGTTGCAGCTCTATGACGAAAATGATGTGAGAAGAGCTAGATTCATCGGTAGACTAAAAGAGGTAAATATAACTATTTACAGACCCTCTTAACAATTTCCATACTGTACAAATCTATTTGTAAAGTAAAATATTGTCTTAGTTTGTTCATTCATGGATCTTTTAATCTCTGGTGCAGGTGAATGAGAACTTTGCAATCAACTTGGTTGCAGAAGAACCAGTGACAAACATAGAGTCAAGCGTGGTGTCCTGTGATGGAGGCGGAGGGGCTCTCGGCCACCCCAAAGTTTACATCAACTTGGTAAACATGTATTTTATAACACTTTCTGAAAGTGAGTGAATGAATGAGAAGGTTACCTTATAAACAAAACAGCTAAATAAAAAATTTGGAATTTTTCCCTTTGAGTTTTACTCCCAGGAAACATCTCAAACGATTTAGCTCCATATGGTTCTCATTTTTGAAATACTATGTGACCCTGGACCACAAAACCAGTCACATGGGTCAATTTTTTTAAATTAAGATTTAGCTGAATAAATAAGCTTTCCATTGATGTATGGTTTGTTAGGATAGGACAATTTTTGGCCAAGATGAAAATCTGGAATCTGAGGGTGCAAAAAAATCTAAACATTGACAAAATCACCTTTAAAGTTGTCCATTTATTTTCGCGATTGTGCTGCATTCACTCACAAAAATTATTTTGTATATATTTACGGTAGGTAATTTACAAAATATCTTCATGGAACATGATCTTTACTTAATATCCTAATTATTTTTGGCATAAAAGAAAAAACGATAAGTTTGACCCAATGTAATGTTGGCTATTGCCACAAATATACCCGTGTGACTTGTGACTGGTTTTGTTATCCAGGGTCACATATTCAGTTGAACTAATCGAATGCTTAGAGATTAAAACTAAGTCTGTCTTCATGCTGCATGTAACATTTATTATTGCATCATGCATTAATTAATTTAACCTTTTCACAGGACAAGGAGACCAAAGTTGGCACTTGTGGATACTGTGGGCTGCAGTTTCAGCAGAAGCATCATCACTGAAGAACTGTCTTTTGTTTGTGTGGGCTATACATTATTCACATTTAAAGATATATTATTCCTTTCTCTGTAAAATAAAATATTAGTATAATATAACTACAGAAGCTGCAGCGTTTCATTGCCTCTTATTTACATTTTTAGTTCTTTGTTTTCTGGTGTTTTTTGCACCTTTCCAAGCTTGCGTCTCAAGGTCGCCAAATCATGCACATGATTTATTCCAGCATTCACGGACAGAGGGCGCACATGGTCTTTGCAAAATGCTATCATCACTTAAAGGGGTAGTTCACCCAAAAATGAAAATTCTGTCATCATGTACTCACCCTTGTGTTGTTCCAAACCTGTATGAGTTTCTTTCTTCTGTTGAACACAAAAGAAGATATTTTGAAAAATGTTGGTAACCAGAGAGTTGACGGTTGACTTCCATAGTATTTTTTTCTTACTATGCTACCATCAACCATCTGGTTACCAACATTCTTCAAAATATCTTCTTTTGTGTTGATCTATCCCTTTAAAAGAATTAGAATGTAAATGTAATCTCAGCACTTTCTAGTAAAATGTATTTTGGATCTTATCTTTCTATTACACCTGGTTTTGATGTCACTACCAGGTTCAGCTTACCTCAGTGATTATTTAAATTAAATCATATTTATTCATATCTGTAAGTTATTATGTTTTCCGTTTAAGTGTTTGAGTGAGTAATTCTATAAAAAGTTCCTTTGCAGTTTGGTTCACTGAGTTCAGACAGCATATGTGCAATACCATGAATGTAATACATATG